ACCTTCGGTAACCATGGCAAAAAAATTCGAATCAACCAGTCGTGCTGGCATAGACATGTTGTGTCATCCGCCCAACCCCACTGGCCTGGCAAGTTTGGAGGTGCAGCAGCGAAGTCTGCGGCAAATCATGTTGGGCATGGACCCGAAAAACATGTATCTTTTTGTGCTTTTGCTCAACTGCGCTCGGGATCGTTCCGAAACGTCCAAGTCCGCATGCAAACAATGCGAACGTCTGCGCCAGCCCGAATACAGTGGCAGCTTCTTCACTGCAACGTCCACCATTCTCATCGACAACGACAGGGACGACACAGCGGCATCAACGGCGAATTTGCCTCCATTGCAATGAGGCAAATCATTGCACACGACCCGTGTCGCATTGCTAACAACCAAATCAGACTTCAGGTCAGCACAACGAAAATCGCGCGCGACACGGCCCTCCGCTTCGCGGCCGACACGGGCGATGGAAACGTCATCGGATGTTGGGAGGACCGTACGCGCAGCTTGAGTGCGGCCCGGCCTGTGAGAGCAGGAGGGCGCAAAGCGCTCGCAAAATGCGTTTCGAGACAGCGCTCATTGCAAGGCTCGGCTGGCCCCGGCCGCCCACGCGCAAAGTAGTCAGCAATATACGCCTGCCACCGCCCCAACATCACGAAACGAAACAGCGTCGCCAAAGCCACACAGGCTTTCAACGTGGGTCGCGGCCGCGACGACAGGCACGCGGCCGGCCTCAGGGTCGGTGAACCAGACAAGGACCCGCTGTGTTGCTTCGGGCAAGCGGTTCCGGAGCAGCGGGAGCGGAGCATAGCCAGGAAGCAAGAAAGCCACGCAGTGTACTTGTCCAGGGAGGCCGCCCTCAGGCATGAGACCCCGTGTTCGAGCAGCGGGGCATCCACAAAGCCAAGCCAAGCAAAGCAAACAAGCACCGGTGAACTGCGCCACTGTTAAGCCGTCGCTCACTACCACATCGGGTTCGTTGTGTGTGGGACAAACATTTATGTCCGCGGAACGACCCCATTTCACGCTGCTAAGACATGGTGAACCATTACCGTCTGAGCAATATTCACGTCTGCATGGGCAATCGGTTTCCGGCATTGCATGCTATCAATCCATTAGACTTGTTGTCAAAACACCGCTATCTTAAAACACATGGCTATTTTTCATGACAACACTTGCCCGAAAAGCGGACACCTGGATCTGGAACTGCCGAAGCACCTCATCGGTCAACGGTCAAGCGAAGTTGGACGAATACACCGTCACGTCACGGCCAATCGCCAAACCACCAATTTGAGCCCGCCACGTCATCATCGGAACTGTCCGAGCTGGTGTCGGCAACCACCATGCACTTCAACTAGATTCCGGTTCCAACCATATACCATTGGAAGCCAATCCAACACAAGTCTCTGGGTAATGATGGGCAAGTCACACTATGTACTCTGTTTGGCATGTGCTCAACGCCGTGCCCGTACAAAGGCCTGCGGTAGCAAGCAAGGGCATCCAGAAGCAACACACTGAACCACCAGCACAACGGCTGCAAACACTTGAAACTGAGTCGTTCGCATCGTTTCGCGGCTGGACCGTGCTATGCATGTGGTTGTTCAGAAGCTGTGTTCCAGCAGTCCACCAGTGTTTTGCGGGGTGCCGTTGGCGCTCTGCGGCAACTGCAGAAGCACCCAAACAGATTACGAGCGCAGTCTTGCGATATGTCGGCCGCCCACCGGCTCCTGTTGCCATTATTCCGATACGATCTGGACGGCATCCTGCCGCCTTCTCAATGATTCTCTGGCATTTCAAAAACACCGGGACAGCCGCCGAAACCAACCAATTGTGAATCACAGAGAGCGGAAGTCCTACCAAAAAAACAGTAAAATTGATGCAAAACCAAAGACAAAAAGGCCCAACAGAAGTCTCCAGCATACCATCCAAGGTTAGTAAAAACATCTGCATGCTTGTTGAAGCTTGCATCGATTGTGCGTTTATTGAAGCTGCATCTGCTGTGGGTTCACCGGAAACCACTTATATTCAAGATCGAATTCACGTTTTTCACCGATCAATCATCGAAACTTCATTTGCCAGCATCTCGGCTCGGGATGCCACGTTGCATGCTTCGTAACTTTCATACTTCACGCTTGCTTCTTGGACGAAGCAACTATCAAAAATCTGCTATATACACATGAAGCAACAATTTATCAGAAGCCGTGAAAACATGAAAAATTAGAAAAAATCCTCAAAAATTTTCCAAAAACATGTTAAGTCCGCAAATCTCCTGGCCCATAGCAAAACCTTTTGAAATTCTAAAATTCTTGGCAATTTGTCAGTAACTCAAATTATTTCTGCCTTGCTGAAATAAAAACAGAACCTTCAAAAATTCATGAAGAAACGCTGAAAGCCTCAAATTTCGCAATTCAAGATCTTTTCCAAATGAAAAAACCAGTCGGAAAGTCTTGTTCAGAATGGACAACGGATGGCTTGCTGGATCTGGAAACTCTATGTTCGAACTTGGGCTTCGGGAATTCTGCGTTCGAACCGGAGTTTGGCAGCTTGAACCTTGCGTGGCCAGCGCAGCGACCATAAGCTGAACGACTGCCGGCAGCCTGCAACGTCGCAGCCTCTGTCTTACATCTAGTTGTGCTTGGAACTGATGCCGTTCGAGGCCCCTGCAAAAATGTATGGCAGCTTGAATCTACCCCAAAGGTTCGTATGGAGTTCCCAAACCTAGGGTGCCAACATAAAGTTCCGAACCTGGAGCGAACCTCCAATCCAGAGTTTGAACAGTCATTTTTCCGTGAGAAGGGAAGAGCCACGCTTCAACAGTCTGTATGTCGCAGCCACCTTGTTTCACTTTGTACAGTCGATTGTTGCTTTTAATGCTCTTGCTTTCTTGCGTTTCTTTGGGAATCGAGCGCAACAGCCGAAAAAAAAAAAAACAAAAACAGCGGTGAACAAAGAGAGAAAAACCAGTAACTGCGGCATGCAAGCCGTTCGGTCGAACAACAGCCTTTCAGCTTTCGTTTCGTGGCTTTTAAGCCTGCTTAGCCGCTTAGCCTCTGGAAAGCGTGTCTTTTTTTCCGAAACATCGGCCTGTCACAATAGTCCTCTTTCTATTGGTTGCCGAATAACGCGCGCTTGCGGCGCCACTGGCGCTTGGCGTGTGCAGGCAAGCGTTCCTCGCACGCCTGACTGTGGCATTGCTTGGCGTGTGCAGGCAAGCGTTCTCCGCACGGCTGACTGTGGCACGGCTTGGCGTGTGCAGGCAAGCGTTCTCCGCACGGCTGACTGTGGCACGGTTTGGCGTGCGCAGGCAAGCGTTCCGCCTTCACTTAAACCCTTCCACTTTGGGGTTTAGGGTTTAAGGTTCTAGGTTTAAGGTTTAGGCTTTATAGGTTTAAAGTTTAAGGTTTAGGGTTTAGGTTTAGGGTTCACCAGCGGAGAAGCAGCTTTCAGAAATGCATGTTTGTGCTTGCCTGCAAACTTTAACGTTCCATGCTAGCGATTTGCTTCCAAGCCAACCTAAATGTCCACTGTAGATGGATTTGCGGTTGAAGCTTTAAACCCGGATTCATGCCTGCTGCTTTCATTGTGAGTCCAAAACTCCAAGATCGATGTCTGCTGCTCTCACTGCGGGCCCAGGCCTCTAAAACCATCTGTCTGCTGCTTTCAATGCCAATCCAAAAGTCCAAAATGGATGCCTGCTGCTCTCACTGCGGGCCCAGGCCTCTAAAACCATATGTCTGCTGCTTTCAATGCCAGTCCAAAAGTCCAAAATGGATGCCTGCTACTCTCACTGCGGGCCCAGGCCTCTAAAAACCGCGTCTGCTGTTGTCACTCTGCTTCAAGCGGCCTCAAGACAACACCAAGCTGCGCGCTGTCCGGTCACCGGGAATCATTAACATGAGCTGCAGGGGTGAAACGGCAAGCAAGCTAGACATAACTCGAAAGATTTGAAGACTGTGGGTGCAAGTTCCAAATTTCAAGCGCGCTTTGACTATTCTTTTCAAGCAAGCATGCCAAAATATTACAAAATGCCACAGCTAAATGCGAAAAAGAATATTAAACATGCATGTTTACAAACGACGCGTTGACGATTGTCCAGAACTTCTAGCCGATTCTAGCCTGAAGAGTATTTCTGCGATTGAGCGACAGGCATCTCACAGAAGCAAATTGTTGTCAAGAACTATTTTTCACCAACTTATGCAGAAACATACCACAACCACATGCAAAAGATCCAAATTGCATGTCTACTTCTTGCAATAGACGCATGCCGCATTGACAACTCTCCAAAACTTCCAGGAAAAGTGTTTTTGCACGATTTCAATGACAGGCATCCCCCAAAAGCAAAGCGGTTTTTTCCAGATTCTGCACCAACTGCCTTGGCGGCTTCCGAAGAGTTTCCAAACTGCTTGGAGGCGCCCTGCACATGCAGTTAGGATGGTGTGCGCATCTCAGAGGATGGAGTCCGCACCTTCTCACGGAAGCCATCGGATTGCTCTTTTTGGCTCGACCCCGCTTGTGCGCCTTCTGCCCACATGCGATCGGTGCCAAATCAAAATCGGACACAAGGCTTTTTACAAAAGCAGCGTGCTCAGACGCCGTCTTATGGCCCAAGCCCGCGGAGGACAGCTATCGAGCAGGGAGGTGAACTTCAAGCTGAACGTGCTGATGAAGGAGAGTAAAGTGCGGATGCTCGTCCAAGATTGGCCGTCGGCCAGCACACAGCGGTAGAACAAATATTTGTGACGCTTAAAGCTAGAAAACCTCCCCGCCCACCTTCGACCCTTGGGCCTGAAAGGATAGGCGGTGCACGAACATGGCCACTCGCTCCTGTCCCAGCTCAAGATTTTCACACTAACCCTATTTTATTGGCCAAGTTCGTCCATCTGACGGTAAGCGACTCGGTACTGCGCCCAAAGATGTTCTGCTGAAAGGAGTCTCAAAGTGGACTCGATCCTTCATCATCCCATGCGCGATACTTTAGGGGAGTCTTAGGGTGTAGGCCTTTATACTTAGGGTCGGGAGGAAGGCTGTTGGAGCCACTCAATGGCTTTCCGGCGTTGGGCATCTCTTGCGAGGGATTCTGAGGTATCGAACAAGCGAAAACGGCCTTGCGCAAGGACTGTCCGAAGCAAGGATGGATCCATATTCTTAGTCAAACTGTCTGCTACCTGCAATGTGGTGGGGATCCACCGGAACTGAGCGTTCTCTGCGCAACGCTGCTTAATCAAGAGCACTTCCAACGTCGTGCGATGTTCCTCACAGGTTGGCATGGCTAATCTGGTCACGAGATCAAAAAGGGATTTGCAGTTTGTTACTACGAGAGCAGTATTCAGCAGCTTATAGCTCTTTTCAGGTTGTCGCCAATCGAAATGAGGCACATGGACTACTCCCCACAGTGCACGGAGCCATCCCAAAAGATCAACGGCCTTTGACATCGCGTAAGCTTCGGCTGACAGAGTTGATCGGACCACTCGGGGTATTTTCTTAGAAACCCAAGCAAGAGGAGACACTGGGGCTTCCTGGTTTTTACTGAGCTGACCATTTGTGGCGCATAGAAGAACACCCTGATGGGAATTAAGATTCTTCGAGGAGGCGAAGGATGCATCTCCAAAAGAGACGAAAGTTAGCTGATCTGCCGGTATCGAAAGAAAGTGTACGCAGACCTGATCGAACTCTTGGGCCTCCCGTAAAACGCGATTTGCAGTCAGCAGCGTCTGCACAGTTGCTGCTGTGATTTGGCTTTGGATTTCCCCTAGTTTAGCGGCTATGTCAGGCCTCGTATGGGTGACAGCGTATTGAACGCTTCCAACCAAACCACGCAGCTTGGAACGCTCCTCTTCGGTGGCCGGGGATTCTGGGTTCTGTCTTCGATTACGACCTACATCAATGGGCAACACTTGACGGATGTAGTCGCCCTGTGAGGCACGGATCGTGAAGTCAGGCATTTGCTCAAGTCGAATACCGGTGAACACGAAATCTCGAAACTTTCGGCTACCGAAGGGCAAGGTTTTCTGCAGAGTCTGAATTTTATCTAGGAAGACGGCATCTCCTCCGCAAACCCCGTCATCAACATGAACCCCCAAAATGCCATTTAGCTTCCCTTGGGTGTACAGAAGAAAAACACACGGCTCAAGAGGATGCCTAATGAACCCGAGGGCTTCAAGCTGCTTAGATAGCTCTTTGTAGAACAGCAAAGGAGCATCAACTCTCCCGTACGCATTCCCCAGCAACTGGCAGACTTCGTCGTCTTTCATTTGGAGAAGCTGACGGAGTTCCTTCGGGGGTTCCATGGCAAGGGGATTACTCTCATCGGCTTTACCCCTTAAGAATGCAGTCTTAATATCAAAGGATCCCAGGAAACTTACACGAGGCTATGGTCTGTAAAACTAGCGCTCGACCTTCCTTCGAAAGTGTGGGGGCATCCCTCATAACCTCAACCAACTTAGGGTCCTGGAAACCTAAAACCACTAACCGTGCCTTGGCACGGGGTTGGGATTCACCGGGCTCGGGACTCTTCCACGTTAGGATCCATCGACTCCTTAAGATCTGCTCGGGATTTAGCCGTCGGCGAAGCACTGCACGGATGGCTGAGGTCTGTACCCAGCATTGCAACTCTTTAGCCTTTGCCTGTTCAAACAGCTTTACCTCCTGAGGGGTCAGGTCTTTTACGTTAACCTCAGTCCTAGCACGTTTGCTCACGGCTGCCAAAGTTGCAAGCTGCTCGGGCGCTGCTTCGGATGCCCAACGCTTTAGGTCCTTATGTCTTACAGGAATTTCTAAGCAAAAGGCTTGATGCTCAGTACACTCTAAGGGATTTTCGACATATGGAAAATTATCTTCGGCAAGCGGGGGACCCTGAAAGTCGTCGCTAGTCTGAAGCGTTGTGAAATCCATGATTTCTTCTCCCTGAGAGTCCTGAACACCCAACTGGTGACTAGCTAACAGGACTGTCTCAGTGCAAAGACCCTCCTCACTGTCGGGCACAGGGATGCTTGCTGCATCAAGCTGTCCAGGATCACTATACTCTACGGTCGGCTGCACGGAATCAGAAGGAGCTGCGGCATCGCGCTCAACTTCTGGCGCATCAAGGGAAACTGGAGCTTCCGTCTGAATGCTCACTTGAGGTGTAAGCTCTTGCTCGGGTTGAGCAATGTCATTATCGCCTTCTCCAGTTCCCTGAGCGGCGGACGCGCCGGACACAGGAACTGGTGACAAAACAGCCAGCTCGGGAGATCCTGAGGGTGAGGCATTCATCGAGGGGTTGGGTATCGCAGTGATTTCTGGATTAGGGATCGTGAGGTCGACAAAGGTACTGGCGCCTCCAACTCGAGAAACAGTCTCGGAATTTGACACGGACGTCGAAAGGCTCTGCCACTCCCTCAGGGAAGCTGGTCGCAGATTCTCCGGAGCACACCGGAGGATTGTGGCTCCATGAGCAACCCAAACTACGGACTGCCCTTCTTGGCAGATGACCTTGGCCGGACCGTGCCACCTACCTGCTGCAAGCCGGTTTGGCGATGTCCAATACAGAACCCATGACCCTGCAGCAAACGGACCTCGCACCGGATGACCTCAACATGGCCCGCCGGATTGTTTGGCAGTTGTCTGCTTTCGAAGAAGGCTTGTCGCCGTGGGTCCAATCGTCTTCGGTGGGCCTCGGCTTCAAGATCATCACCTTCGGTCAGTGCGTGAGAACTCCGCTCCTCATCGGAAGTGATACTTCCGGGGATGCGAACAGACTTCCCCAAGACAATCTGTTCTGGAGCATAGCCTTTATGACGGACAAAGCATTCTCAATGCAGCATTGAAGACCGATGAAGTGCCTGATCAAGCGAACTATCGTTGGTGATTGGGAATTCTTTATCTAGTCGGCTCAACATGCTCTTTACGCCGTGGCGCTCGACTCGGCCCCTTTGCCAAGCAGCAGCGGTTACAAAGGTTTTGATGTTTTGGCGCTGAAAGGCTTCCAAGGTGGCTTCCGATCGAAATTCCCCGGCTGGGTCAACATACACAAGCTTAGGGGTTCCTGCCCAAGAGAACCAACTATCCCGTAGGGTGCTCAAGGCTTCAGCTCCGAGTCGTGAATTTGATCGGCGTCCAGGTGGAAGCAGCTGTTCGTCAAGCACGTGAACAACACAGGCTCGATAACCAGCCTGGCCCTTAAAGAAAAAACCGTCAACTCCAAGAACATCATTAAACTCTTTTGGTTCGGGCAACTTACTGGGTCTCTGATGGAGATCACACTGATCCAGCGCTGCTTCGACGAGCTGCTTGTCTTCACACGCAGGTGCTCGGAAGCTTCTTAGAATCTGGGTGACCTAGATTGTTATGGGCTCGGATAAGTTGGGTCTTGAGGTCCTCAGGCAATCCACAGAAAGCAGGCCCATAAAGGGGTACTGGTGGAGGCGCCCATCCTTCCATGTCGGGTTTTGGGACCTCGTCAGGTTGGGAAGTCCTAAGACTGGGAGCCGGGTTCCCAGGGAACTCAGCGTTGCGATTCTGTGCAGATATTGTTATCAGTATCTCGGCGGCAAGAATCCGAGCTCGTTTGCTGGTGCCGGGCATCGTCGTGCGGTCCTCTTGTCCGGGAGACTGAAACACTGCTGCTTGCCCCGGGGGCTGACGCTTGCACAAGAAATTCGCCAAGGAGCTACAGTCGGAGGCAGGGCACCAAGCGGACATTGAAGCTGTCTACATCCCTTTCCCAGAAAAACCTGAAGAATCGCAAGATCAGAAAACCGCTCTTGAAGGTTCTAGGAGGCGACTCGGAGGGGGTACTAGAGTTGAACTCGCCTTGACAGCATGCTCCACGGCTGACTCAAAGATGAACTGCCACTGTGCATCAGGCAGGACTTCCGGCGCTTGCACAGACGCCGAAGGGGGCTATGCCTTCCCCCGATTCGGGCTCGCTCGCTCTCTTTTGGGCATCTAGGGTGTTACGGGATCGGGACCTATCCAGCGACGTCTTAAACCTCTTACGGGTCAAGGGCAAAGGCGGACTCATCTTTAGCACGCATCAGAATCTCGGCTACATGTCGAGAAAATCCCAAGCAGTATGAACCAGCCTGCTGCGTCCTCCCAAAAGCTGTCGGAAGCGGTGAGTCAGGGGCTGATGCGCAGGATGTCCCGGGCACTGTTTTTGCACAAGACTGCGGACCAGCTCTGCAAAGGTACTAAAGACCACAACCTTCTTTCGAATTGGGATCTGCTGTATGGGAGTTGAAAGTCCAAAAGCACACATGTCGAGTTGCTCCTTGGGTTTGATGATTGGTTTACACTTGTCTTCATTTGTCATACAGGAAGAAATCGGCTGCTCAAGGTGAAAATGTTTGTGATTCTTGGTTTCCATTCGCAAATTTTGGCACACAATCGAACATGAACAAGCTCTCGCTGTCGGTGCTCTTTTAGGGTTTGGGGCCCAGCGGGATTTTTGGCGCTGTTCAGGCGTGCCCAGGAGCACCAGTAGCGGCTGTCGGGAGACATCCAGATATGCCGAGGCTGCGTGCGTTGCAAGAGGTTCCACAGCTTTCGCTGACCTTCAGCCGTTTCTAGATCTCCTTCTGTAGTGAAGCGCTGGCCAGGCCAACTAGCGCTCAAACCTGCTCTGTCAAACGACTGTCGGGATTTGCATATATTTCAAGTACATCCAATTGAGGTTCACTGGGTGGAATACGTCAACATGGAGTCTTGGTACACATCCACGCAGCCTCCTCAGCCGGTTGTTAGGCCTGAGCACAAGCATCGGCAGCCATTTGTGCCGCCGCGGGCAACGGCGACTCCAGCAGATCACTTGAGAAGTCAGTTCCCGACGACGAAGGTCAGATGATTTGGGAACGGACTCAGAGGCAGACGCTTGGTGTATCGATCTCGGAACTGCTCTAGTCTGCGGGCTCTCAACCAGATTGGTCATGGCAAACACCGGACTCGGGGCTTCATAGGCAATTGAAAACCAAGAGATTTCATCAGGGCTCGGTCCTCATCGGGCAACTTAGGTGTAGCCTTAAGACAATAACCTATTGCCAACACTCGGTCCAGGGCGCAGTAGCACGCCAGCAGTGCGGATCAAGATACATGCAGGGCTTAAGAGCCACTAACGTTCCCGACACGGCAGAATGACCGCACAGGCGATCCTGAGCTGGTTGCCGAGCGTGCGGGGATTTGGCTACCCAGAGCTGACCACCGGTGTCGGGGTATTCTAGAGGTACTACGAGGTTCTGGAATTGTTCAGAGTTGTACACATCTCGATGAGGTTCAGCATTGGCATTGCACGACACACCTACAGAGGAGAATCGATGCTGGGGATCACTTAGGTGGATTAGGGACGTAAGGGCTCGAGTGATCCAAGGGTATTGCCTAGCTACTGAAGTAACTCCCACTATTCCTCCGTGAACATACATCCCAAACGTCACGTAGGCTAGGGGTCTCTTAGCATCGGGATTCGGGGCAATCACGGCGGCCCGGGCAGTGCTTTCGGCAAAGAGGTGCCACGGCACCTTTCGCAGGAACATGCGAAGCTCAGACAGCGTGGGCTGACTTTGCATCAGCGCCTTGGCGTGGTTTTCAACATCGTGAGGACTTACACTAGCTTGATTAACAAGATCATTCAACTCACGCTGACATTGAGCAACTTCACTCACGAGGAGCTCGGGGGAGCATTCAGCTGGCGGATGGCTGAAATCATTTCCTGCATCACTTGCTCCATCTGGGACATGCGACTGTTCAGAGTCGCCACTTGGTCCTGGAGCGCAGGCTCCTCCAGCATTTCCCAAGGGATCTCGGGACCGTCCTCGCGAGCACGGGCCTTTGGCGCAGCTTGACTCAACATGCTTGTCTTGCGAGGCTTGTCCGACTTGATCACGGCGGGTTCGCCACGTAGCTCGACCTCGAGCTGCTCCGCCTGGCTCACATATTTTTCCACGAAGTTGATGAACACCTTGTGTTCCCGTTTGCCACTGTCGTGGTAGTGATCCACGAACCATTTGGTCCAGTCGGAACCTTCCTCCACGCAGTCCATGAAGGTGCGGCCCTTCATTTTGGTACCAAAGTTCACCAGAAAGGCACCGTGCTTTTCGAGGCTGAGTGCCTCGATCTCGGCCATGCTGAGACTCATGGTGGGGTCTCGCAGCTTGACCAAACGAGTGCCGAGACTGGCTGTCGGGGCACGGGAAGTCGGCGCCTCGACATCTTGACTGCTCTGCGCCATGCTGGGGGGCTGAGCGAGGGACGGGATTGCGGATTGCACAATTGAGCGTCGGAGCGGCTTGCGGGACCGCAGTTCGGCTCACACTTGCCTGAGCTGGAGCTGTATCTATGCTACCAGGTGTTCTCGTGGGCACCGGCAGGCATTCGTTAACGGCGCTGGCAACACTATGCTTCAACGCTGGTTTTGAATTCTTTACCCGAGGGTTTCTAAAGGAGCGAGGAACCGCTATACATCCCAAAGTTCTCTTTCCTATTCCCAAGGGCTCGCTAAGCATGCACGGGTCTTCGGCAGCGGGAACATGAGGCGGATCTTCGGCAACAAGTGAATTTGCAGCCTCATGGTAACTGTCTTCACACAGCTTTGAAAGGTCAATCATGTATAGCCCTGTCGGGCCGGTCTGCATCTGAAGCGAACGCTGAACGCGGCGAAGTTCGCACACATCAGTCACAGTATTGATGACCCCTCCTAGCTGCTTGATAGCCTTCTTGCTGAACAATAGAGGTGTGTGACCCGGTACCACCTCTATCCCTAGCCACAAAACCTGGTGGTCCGTTGTTCCGAAAGGCAGCAAAATACGACAGTCACTCATTAAGGTCTGATTATTACCAAACCGAAACCGAATGGCACTCTTCTGCACCCGGATCTTGGAACGAACGGAATCACTCAGCTGGCCAATGAACTTCTGAAGCAAACTCTTGCCCATCACGCAACGGCTTGCACCCGTATCAAGGATAGCTTCAACATGGCTAGCTTGCTGGGCAAGAGTCGCCACCTCAGTTGCAGCACACCTAACATGTTTCATGTCAGGGCAAAAGGCATCAGTCGAGGCTGGTTCCCCACTGCAGCGCGGCCTGAGGGATTGTTGCTTCATCAGGTTGTGGCGATTTTGCAGCTTTCGGACTAGGTTCTGGAGATTAGGGAGGACCGTCTTAGGGGGCACAGGATTGTACGTGCAAAGCGCCTCCTCCAAGGTCAAGGCATCAGCTGGCAAGCTGGTCAAAATCTCCTGAGTGACGGCTTGATCTGCGACCTGGGAGACATCCATGAATGCCTCGGCCACCGTCGTGGTGGCTTCGCTACTCGGGTTTCCCTTGCGGCGGGGACATTCCGCTTTCCAATGTCCTTTTTCCCCGCAGATCCGACAGTTCGAGCGAGCAATACGAGCCAGGAGCTGCTCTCGATGCTTGCCCTTGCCCTTGCCGCCACCCTTGAAACTGCGACCGCCCTTGGGAGCACCCTTGCTTCCTCCAATCGGCCAGAAGCCGCGGGACTTCTTCTTTGCGAGCAAGCGATTGCGTGCTTCCATGTAGCTCACCAAGGCCTCTTGAAGCTCAGGAGTATCCTGGAAGAAGCTTTCCAACTCCTCCTCGAATGCCTGAACCTGCAAGGCGTCTTGGTCCTCCGAAGCCAACATGGCTTCCATGAAGCCCTCATCGAGGTCCACATCGGCCTCTTCGACGGCAGCGCTTGCCGTCATCGCCGGAACCATCTTCTCGCCTTCCTCCGGAGGTTCTTCCACCACATTGGCATCGTAGGTCCGTGACTTCGCCACCCTCTGACCCTGCAGATCGGCAAAGAATCGGGACCCCAAAAGCCGAATCGATGAGCAGACCTTCTTGTAGTCTAGGCTTCCGCCAAGCTCCAAAATGATCTTCTTCCGATCCTCTGAAGTAAGCTGGGACTGGCGCAACAATATGTAGGCACGTACCTGCTCAAATGTCACGCTCTGCGACAACAGCTCCTCGAAGTGAACATCATGTCTGGCCAAGTAACTATCGTTCGTCTCATCCTGCTTCTGGACGGTGCCGTACAAGGCCTTCTCGAACACGTCATACTTCGCCTCGAGGTCTGTCTTTCCCCAGGATCCACCCAGAGTAGAAACCAGAAGCTTGATCCCAGACTCATCGCTGCTCTTAAGCTTGTCTGGCGGTAAACTGGCGATCTTCTTGAAGGCCGTGCCTTCCACCTGAAGAGCTGCCCGCGGGGCGAGCAAACTCAAGTGTTCCTTGGGCCACATGGCCGCCAGGAACTCCAGCTTCCTGCTGTACTCCGTCACATCTGTCGTTCCAGGAATGAACTTCGGAATAGCCGCCCATGGTAACTGAAATCCCGTTGATCCCTCGGCCGTCGTCGGCCCGGTCGAGGCAGTCGCTGGCTGCTGTGTAGGAGGCATTGATATCCCGAAATGGAAAACCCAGAGGTCAAGATTGGATCGGCCGCTTTTGCGCAGATAGCGAAGCTGTAGGCTCCGCTACCAGTGTGAACTCCCTTGAGTTCACCTGGTAGCTCGTGACCCTGTCACCAATGATCAAAGATCTGAAGAATGAAAGGTTCCTCAACCGCGAATCCAAGATCAAAAGAAGAAAGAGGCTGCCCTGCAGCTAAACGTTCCCCAGCGTCCCACGCTGTTTTCTCCAGCAGTCCGGCTCAGGCTTCAAAGGTCCATGCAGCACCCAGTGCTGAACCCTACCCGCCCACCTTCGACCCTTGGGCCTGAAAGGATAGGCGGTGCACGAACATGGCCACTCGCTCCTGTCGCAGCTCAAGATTTTCACAAAGGTAAACGGTTTTGGGGGCTTCAGAGGCGCGGGAAGTTTGCAATCGGGGCCCAGGTTTGAAGGGTTAGGTTTCGGGTTTGGAGTTCGGGGTAAAGGCTGCCCGACCACTGCACTCCAACCCTCCCACCCACGCCAACCGCACCCTGCCCAACGTTCCACCCCACCCACCCACCCAACTTCCGTCCTACCCCACCTCTCCTCTTTTGTTGTGTCCAAAAAGTTTCACTTGTTTTTGTCTTTGTTTTCATACTTCCGGAAAATGCGAAGCTTTCTGTTAATTGTCAAAAGTCAAAAAAAACATGTCAATCAAGTCCTTAATTTTGCATCTCCTCCCACAACGAACTGCTGCCACGTGTTGCACACTGGCGGCTGTCGCTGCTGTGCATTGTCCGGCTTGTGCGTTGATGGGGTCCGGGCAGGGGTGGGGCGTGCGAAAGATCTATAGCACTCGTTTGGGGGGACACGAATTATGGCGTTTCGTTTTTTGGAAAATCACTTGTACGGTTTTGCACCTGAGCTTTTTTGATCTTAGCATCTCAGCAGGTCCAAAATCCTATCGGACGGGATACTAATTCCTCACTCGCTCCTGAAACAAGGCTCGCGAGAATTAGTATTTAAACCTGGTTGAACAAATTACAACTTGAGACCGGACTGTGCAGCAGCATCATCAGAAGCAACACTCCCATGGTGTTTTATGTAGCTTTTGGCTCCATACGACAATCAAATCAAAATGTCGAACATGCCATGAATGTGGCACGATGCTATCGGAAAGTCATGCGGGGATGTTACATGCATGCATGCATGTGGAAAATCAGAGCGGGTTGGTCTTGGATTGAGTCCTTAAAACCAACACAACGTTTACAACAACGTCGGTAGTGGTGGTGGGGTACATGACAGCAGCATAGAATGCGGGTGTTATTCAGGATGCAGCCAAAATGCCGGTGGCCCTGGTGGTTGTTCGATGCTTACTACCACAGATGTGGCATTGGCCGGTCTTGAGGCCCTGGTCCAGTCGCTGGACGCAAGGCTTCCGCGTCAGAACCAGCAGTGTCAGGAGCGTTCGTTGTCAATTTGTGCTTTCGCAAGGGGCGTTCTGGCCTTCCGACAGGCTTTCCGTTGAGCAGTCCAAGTGGTGAATGCTCGAGTTTTTGACAGTTGATGTTTGATTTGCACCGTGCGCGAGGTAGTCGCGGGACAAGGCATTGTCATCCCGTTTGGTTGTCATGCTGAGCCTGGTGCTCGTTCTTTTTAACGTGCTTCTTTGTAGGAACTTTGGCGGCTTAACATTCCGATCCGCAGCAGCTCCTGCAGCCAGCAGCTTGAAGGCGGTGGGCTGTGAATGACTGCGATACAGCAGCAGTATTGTCATTCACAATGTGCTCCTGCACGAGGCTTTACCGGCAAAAAGCGTCCAAGACTTCCTCGCTGCAGTTCAGGATCGTTTCGTGACAGATGTGAGAAACTGACGTGATCGCAACCATGCAAGTGAAGTGACGACACGGCGACATATGTCGATGAGAGCAGGAATGCAAAGTTCAGCAAGCTCGAGAACTTTTTCACCAGGCCAGGGAGATTTGAGAAAAGATCAGTGAGAGACGGCAGAAGTGTCCAAGTGAGCAGGTTCGAACAGCTGTTGGGACGAGGGCCAAATCAAAGGAAGTTTGGATGCCAAGTTGGTGAAGCAGTCCGTAGCTTGTGGTCAAGTGCAGGTCTTTGCAGATAAATGCTTGCAGGTCTTTGGTGGTCTGCGCGCTCTCTTGTTGGTCGGCTGCATTTCATCAACTTACTCAGAACCTGAATTGGATTGCGGCATGGTAGTCATCATTGGCAAAGAGTTGTTTAAAGAGTTGTATCAAATTTTGACACACAGGCACTATCTGCTTGAGACGTATGCAAATCTCGACAAGTTGGACCAGGTCTAGTGTAGGCCATTTTCGTGCTGAGTTTGTCCGACACCGACACAGGCAGTGGGTCTTCTGGAAGAGTTGCGGCATACGGAGGCAAACGGCCGCGGGGTCGCAACACCGCACCGCTCGCTGCTCGCTGCAGGTCAAGCTGGTCAGTGCCGGCGCTTTCAACGTGCCGATCATACCCGTGTGTGTCGCTGTAGAATTTGTGGGCGCTGCCGGAGATGTGCTTTCAGAGTTGCTTAGGCAATGCTGCGCGGGCTCGTCTCCCGTAGCTCCTTTGAGAAGGCAATGCTGCAGCGGAGCTTTGACCGGAAGTATTGATGCATGAAGTTCAAGTTGTGACAGGCTCAATGGCTTGTCCGTAGCGAGATGCCCCGCTTTGGCCACAACCCAAACGAGGTATTTGGCACTGACGCTGCAGTACTTCCTGAGTGCACTTGAGAGCCAATTCTGTCGGCTGCAGGGTTCCTTGAACATGCTCATGGATTCTGCAGCCCGATCCGGACCACGTTACCTCGACGAGGCATTTGACATTCTAGAGGCACGTGCACGAAGCAGTGTTCTGCAGTCGGGTCAAACGTTTAGTTGGCAAACGAGTGCCGTCCGCAATCGCAGGAAATGCAGCTTCAAGACATGAGTGCAGACAAGTGCGCATACAAGCCACAGGTACATGCGTCCCAACATGTATCGTCGGCGTTTCATTCGCAGATCCATCAGCAGGTACACTGTCTCAATATTGACAAAGCACTTGTCGGACAGAATCTCCGATAAACGGCAGCGCTCTGATCAAGATTCACAGTTGTCAGCCCAGGAAAGCCAAACCAATCAAGGAATGCTTTCGCCTTTGAGGCGTGTGCCGCGGGGGGTGATGATGGTGGAGCGCTTCTTGCAGATGCAGCCGGAGGACGTGGACGAGGTGGGCTGCGACCCTTTCATGGACCAGAACACAGGCAGTAGCTTTTTCGAAGCGCAAGGTCCTCGTGAACTCCCTCTTAGATGTCTTCTGCAAGCTTGGCGACATGTCTCGGCTCGAGGCAGGGCCAGAGAGCCGCTTGACCTGCTCGATCTTGTGCCGCTGCGGCTGTTTAAGGAGACGCTGGCCCTGATGAAGCGCTATGGAATCAAGGGCTCCGCTGTGACATATGGGACCATCGTGAAGGCCGTGCTCTTTCATAGGCCGCAAGATAGCGTTTTCGGTTCTAACAGCTGGCAGGCATACGGACATGCAGGCAACATCGACCGAGTAGTGGAGGCGGTCGGTGGGGTCGTGAGGGGCGCACTGCGCACCTGGACGAGTTTTTCATGCAGAGCCCATGGCAGGCTTGGGCCGAGATGCATCGGGAAGGTCTGGAAGCCAACGCGGCAGCTTGGACAGCAGTCTTTGTTTTCAGTGTTTTGCAACGTGACCTCGTGCCCCTATATGAGTCAGGTGACCTACGGATGTATGCTCGATGCTTGTGTCAAGTGTGGTCACCTGGACAAGGCTGTGACAATTTGCCACCATGTGTGTCTCCAGACCATTGCAAGCCCGATAGTAAGCTTCTGTGCTAGAACATATGCAACCTCCTGAGCTTATTTTGGGAAGCCAAAATGAGCTCGCCGGGCATGGAAAGTAGCTATCCTCAGCAGAAGTTTACCGAATGAAGAGTTCGATTGTGCCAGGCGCTGCAGACTTTTGAGATCATGAAGCAGAGGGGCCTCCACAGGAATACGATTCTCTATGCCACTCTTATCAAGGTGCCGACGAGCTGTCCGCAACGTTTTTTAAAAGACTTCCCGGTGCTCGACAGGGCTTCGCGAAGACAAAGGATCCATCTGCGGCAATGAACTTGTATCGAGAGATGCGCTCTGAGCAGGTACCGCCGTGGACTCAGTATCCAACAGTCCCTTTTTTTCTGTTTGGTCACGGTCGGTTGATTCGGTGATCACCGTGCGAGGGATTTCCGCTGTGCTTGATGAACGTACAACTTACCAGCTTTAGCAAGAGGAAAATCGTACTAAGAGCTTCCTGTGGACCAGAAGCTTTCTTCTTCTTTGGATCGGCACATAGCCCTTGAACTGATTTTACACTGTTCTTGGTTTCACTTTGGCGAAACTTTCAGTCTTTCATGGTTGGCCAGCGGCGGAAACTAATCGGCCCGGGGCCAGTGCACTCTAGTCGTAAACGTACCACGCGATCTTGGCTCCCTTTACCAACCCCACATCCCATTCGTTTTCTTTCGCACAGCCATCATCCAACGGTCCGCGCACTTGTGCGGTTTAGGGTTTGCCAGCCGCTTTGGGTTTGGTCTGTACGGTTCACCGTTTGCAGCCCTTGCTGCCGTTGTGTTTGGCCTGGATTCCCGCGAGGTTTAGTGTTTACCGTTTGCTTGTTGTCATTGTTGGTGTTTGCCGCCCATCACTTCGTCCAGCGTTGGTACGGACAGAGTTTCTTTGGATTTATGGTTTGCCAGCTTGCATTCAGGTGAAGAAGTCTTTTGCCAGCGCCTGTCGGGTCAAAGGCATCACTCCTTGCGGATAATTTTAGGGGGCTTAATGACTGATTTATCAAGCTTTCACGGTTCTACTACTGTTTTTAGATTAGTTCAGAGTTTGATGCCTACTACTGCCGTTTAAGAGTTTGAGTTTCAGATTGATCGACCAAAACCATGGCTGTTATAGAGCGTGAATCTTGTCTTGATTTGCCAACGTTTACGTGTTGGAGGATATCGGGTTTGCCACGAAAAGCGGAGCTTCTACAGGCCGCGAAATCATCAAGAAGTTAGCTCAGGTTATGAGAGTTCCGCTTTGGATTAAGATGTGCTACCCATACTCATCTCCGAAAAAATTAAGGTTTCCCCTTGGCATCTAGATTTTTCATTGCTTACGGCCTCCCAGTTGGTCCGGCTTTCCTTTCACGATTCAGACTGTGAATCAGGGTCGACCTGTTCATGGCAGTTTAGACCATGTGCCCTGGGCCACAGCCTGCGAAGCACGGGATCGGGAGAAACGTCTTGATTTGCCGCAGATTCTTCGGGCCATGACCTGCAGCTTTCTCGTAGCCCAAGGTCTGAGTTGGAGGGGTTTGCCAGCCACCCCCACATCCTCCACCCCTTTCATGGATCGAGGTTTGCGCCTTTTCGGCCTCGAGTCTTGGGACCAGAGATGGTTTCCTTCCGCCCTTTCTCGACGATCACTATCTTCTGGATTCAGGGCTTGAGGGTCGAAGTTGTCGTAGTTCGTCCACGCTTCTTGCGAGGAGTGTTGTTTATTGAGTCCACATCCTTATCGAGTTCTACGATTGAGCAGCGAAGCACCTTGGTGCATACGAGTCTCAGACAAGCTTCCCGCACACAAGGTTGAAGGAGGGCACCAAAGGGACGAGTCGGCCGACTCGTGCTGGCCATCCATAGAAGTCTGGCATCCAGTGAGTTATGGTGGCTCCCTTTAACAAATTGTGGAAGCTTGGGAGGTAGCAGCAGTGCTCCGATTCTCAGCCGCATGCCTGCCACGTTCTGCGGGCTGTTGTCTCGAAGTTTTTCTTGTCGTTGCTCGTGTTTTTTTGAGCCGTTCGATAGCGGGAGGGGTATGGGGGACTGGTGGTCTTGGATTTGTTTCAGAAGTGAAGGAGGATTTGGGCAGAGGATGACTGGGGGAAGGGGCGGCTCGAAGTTGTGGATATGGACGAAGTAAAAAGGGGGTAGAGGGCAGGACTTGATGTGTGCAACAGGGCGACTCGATCCCCACTTGCCCGGCTGCTCGGCTCTACGAACACCGATCTCCCCCCCCCCCCCAATTCATGCTCCGACAGGAGACCACAAGCTCCCCTTTGCCCCTGCCCTTGCTGCCTTGCCCTTTACTCTGCTGCCACCGCTTAGCTCGCGGAGCTGCCCATCGTCCGAGACCCCTGGCGGAGCAAGCTTTGCCTCATCCGGTACTGGAGCTCCTCACCTCCTTTAGAGTTCGGCGGAACCCAAGGCTTCCTAGCGAATCTTTAGTCTTCGCTATTCTTTTGCCTGCCTTACTCGCCGTGAGGAAAGCTGTTTTGCTAAACAGTCACTGGCCTGCCGGCGCACAGTCACCGCTTCGGGGATCCTCAGGAAACCTTGACATTGTCTTCGATTAAGGTCTTCTCAAGCTTCGCCGCGTGTGTTAAACGTCTGTGGTGCAGAGTTGCTTTAAGCAGTCCAGGTTTTCATGGAGTTTTTGTTGATTTCAGAATTTTTGTCAAGGCAATGCACCAAAACCCCTGGACCATACATGCTCGAGCTTGCGTTGGGCTTGGGCAACCAACCCCAGGCCAAACACGAATGACAGTACTTCTCGGCTTGATTCCCCAAACCCCAGACCGTAGATGTGAAATTAAACCCATGAAACCCTTGAGCCAGCTCCTTGTTGAGAGTGCTTCCTCCCGGTTTTCAGCCCTTGCCGCAACATCCATTCGAGGCTGAGTTCTCACTTCGACCAGGATCCCTGCTGTGCTCAGTCCTGATGCAGCCACAGACTTTGAATCCCTTCTTTCCCATCCTGCCAAAATCACGGTTCTGAGTGGGGGAGCTCCAGTGCTATGGAACCGGACTGCGTCGTTTCGGTTTCTTTCGCAACTCAGCCTCACTTCTTGTGTCCATTTAGCCACTCAACAGCAATTCATGAATATCACCTCTTTAGGGGGCAATGTGAACACTTGCTAGTACTATCCGATCCTTGCCGTGGATCATTGCGAGAACTGACGGGCGGTTGGAGAGAGCTGGGTAGAGATATCAATAAGTTGATGCCTGAACAAGAAAACAACAAACAGGTGGCTCAGATCCGCAGAGCAAAGCAGGGAGGGCCTTTCCAACACGGAAGAGGTCAGACGATCTGCACCAAATCGTAGCGCACGTGCCTGTGCAGTGTTGGTGTGCCGAGTCATGCGCGGTTGCAATACAGTCAATGCATGCTTGGAGTCTGCACTGAAGATTTAGGTGCAATGTGGTTGTCTTCAACAGCTTGATCGATGCCTGCGTCCGTGCCTGCGACCTGCAGGGTGCGGCCGAGGCTCAAACTGGGTCGAAGATTTATTATTGGCGAGAGAGGAGGTTTCACGGCATCTGTGCAACAGGTTCTTCAGGAAATGACTGCCACGAATGTGCAGCCTGATCTGATTACGTGCCGCTCTCAAGGTTTGGAGATCGCTTTCATGGCGTCCTTTCGCAAGCCTGACAAGGTTCAGCACTCTGATCAAAGGATATTGCAGCAGCGGTGACTTGCCAAAGGTGCCTGGGCCCAGTCCATTTACATCCTTCGGAGTGTTTAAGGAAGTTCAGCTGCTACTTAAGCTGCCAGCGCGAAAGGCCATGCGGCTTCAAGAAGAACTCCAAGCTCGCCATCTCGAGTGTGATGTGCGCCCCTAGCTCACCGCACCGCTGAGTTCGTTTCAGATGTGGTCAGGAGATTGTGTACAACTCGCTTCTCGAAGGCTGCGTGAAGGCTCCGGGAAGACTCGTGTTTTCCTCACGATGAGGTTTCCGGACATTTCAGATAGGCCGTAGTGTGTGAGGCTGGCGATCTCCAACTCGGTCGTTGCCTCAGCGCGCATGGATAATGATGGAGATGACGATGCTGACTGTCATGATGGTGATACTGGCGATGATGACACTCTTGATGAAGACGATGATGTCAACTCGTCATGATGATGATCGTGAAGATCATAATGATGACGGGGAGATGACAAGAACCCAATCTGGTAATGATGGTAGTGATGACGCTGGTGATGGTGATGAACATGACACAACGCGGTAATGATAGCGTGATGATGATGGTGATGTTCGTCGACGGCAGTGCGGCTGGCTTCTTTTGCTGTTCTTTGTGATGATCATGCTGCGGTGATGATGATGATTGTGAAGATTCGTGCCAGGATCACCTTTTGTGGGTATCATGCTCACTATCGCCATCACCACCACCAGAATGGCGATGATGTTGCTGGTTATGAGTTGATGACGAAGGTGATGATTGTCACCATCAGTATCACTGTCGGGAAGCACAGGATGTTGTTTTCGCTTCCTGCCGATTGCTTCAGACAACACAGTAGCAACGCAGCATAGCCAACAGCAATACTGATTACAGTACAATGATGTAGACTTCTTTGCCTGGCTGGCTTGGAATATATGCGGTATAGGGCGTTTGCAGTGACTCTAGTTGCTTTTGCTTTGGGCAGAGAGGCGTTATGGCTTCTTCGTTTCCAGTAGCGTGTGTGACACCTTGAGCGGAGCTCGAGGGCCAGGCGGAGCGGCAAAAGCTGAAGCCCATTGAAACGAAAGATCAGCCACAGATGTTCTGCTGATCTTTTCCGCAGATGACGGTGTCGGGTGAATCCAAACTATGACTTACTATACTTCCTATGACTGTGTGCTGTGATGGGGCCACAACTCAGGAAGCGTCAGACATGAACGTGTTGGAGAGTCCAAACAAGAGCACAGATGACAAACACCGGTGCGTCCGGCTCCTTGATAAATGTGACGATGGTCATTGCTGCTACTGTAATGTAGCACTAAATTGTTGGTGTTCTGCAAAACAACTGCCACTGTTGCTTTTTTCCTTTGTTATTGTCACCGCCGCTACTACTGCCGGTAGTGCACCAATATGACTACAACGACGACGACGCCGAGGACGACGACTTCCCCGGCCGGTGTGGGGGTGTGTCTCTATCGATTTGGCAGAGCATAAATAAAGAAACGTCCCTGCTAGCCTGTTGCTCTGGGCAAAGGCCTGCGCATGTTCTCGGAGATGCGGCACAAGCATGTCCGGCCAAGTGCCGTGACCTTCTCGATTCTGGTCAAGGCAGTGATGCAAGCAAGTCCAACCGAGAGTTGTTTCTCAGTCAGCCCTTCTCTGCAGCTTCTCTCGCATGCTGGACGTCTTGACTTGGCCGTGCATCTTGTGGCAAAGGACATGTCCTGCCTTTTGCTGGATGTTCAGACTTGTGTTAGCTCGACTCGACTTGTCTGTTTACATGTCAGACATATCAGCGAGGAGATGCGCCAAATTCACGGTGTGCAGCCGACACGGATGGTCCCAGACTTGAATCCCTGCATTGGTCTTGGGAAAAGGCAAGTGTCATCATGGGGCTATGAAAGTGCCCAAGTGAACAGTCTAATGTAGGAACCTGATTAAGAAACCCTGGCCCTATAACCCCCTAATACATGAGGACTCATATAAGGAACCCTAATAAAGGCCCAAGGTTTCTTAATCAGGTTCCTACATTAGGTGCAGTTTCCGAACGGATGTGTAGTACCGTTCACGTTTGTCATCTTGGGAGTGTGTGTTCAAGTCTCCCATGGTTGCAGATCCAGGGATCGAGGGGTTTGGCACTCCTTCGTCTCGCATTGCTTGTTCTCGAGGCCACTCAACTGAGTGTGCAGGGATGTTGGAACTCCGATGTGCGATACACTATGATGCAAGCTGGATGAGGATAAACTTCCCGTTTCCAGTCCATAAACTGATGATCAGGGGCCGTTGGAAAGAGGCCCCTTCAACAAGAACTGCCAGCTTTTGCGAGGTTTGGTCATGCCTCATAACTTCCTGCTTGAAGTCGCGAGATCTGAACAGAGCTGTGCCTTCCTCAGTCATCGGACGTGGTGTTCTCTGCTGTCGCTGATCCAACGACTGCTACATCGGTACAGTACCTCCTCTTGTCACTGTAGTTCTTTTCTAGGTCTTTCCGGTCATGCTGCCTAGCTCGCTGTAGACGACGGCCCATTTCATCTGCGCCCGTTTGACGCCAATCCTCTCCCAGGTCATGGCCCTGGAGTTGTTGGACAGTGACGCTGTGACACTGGGGACCGTGTTGATGTTGTGTGTATGTCAATGTTTCCATGCTCGAGTCGAGTATCAGCATATGTCATTGGAAGGTCAGGGCGGGTTTGCGTTGCATGATATCTACACTTCATTGAAAGCTGCGCCAGATCCGTCTTGCTACAATGCAGTGGATTCAGAAATTGGACCTGTCTGGGGGCACGGCCACCATGAGATATACTTGCTGTGTGTTTTGTGCTTGTTCAATCTGGGACCAATTCCCAGCTCCTGCACTGACGAGCGCGTGCTTGGATTCATCGGGTGTGATGTCGACAAACTTTGGCGCACGCTGCCACAGCATCTGCCCGGTTGGCCAAAGGCGCTGCTGGAGGAGTACCACCGCATATTTTCCCCGGTGCCTGTTTTTCCAGGCTCTCGCCAACAACAACTTACATGCGAGTAGTGTTCAGAAGCACCTCCTGGTGCCAGCGTTCTTTTTGTTGGTCGCTGTGCCTGTACATGGTCATGTTTCGTGTGTTTCTGTGCGGAGGCGCAGTGCTGCCTCTGCTATCCATTGCTATCCTAGCTGTGTCTCTGTGGGGAAGACGAAAGGACGGAGGCGGAGGGAGCGCAGCGGAGCGCAGGACTGGCGGCCGAGCGTCGATGTACGGCGCCGTCCTTGAGGCCTCCCTCGCTCGTGGAGAGGCCCCGGGGCTTGCGCTCGAAGATCTTTTTTGCCACAGTCGGTCGGCCGACCGCTCTCTCGCAGGTTGGGACCGCCCTTCAGTTGATTGACTTTGCCTTCAATCGTGCTCACGCAGAAGAGGCAGTGCCCAGTCCTCGAGAGCTCGTCAGCCGCTGGGCGTGTGTCGCCTCTCTGCACGTTGGCTCATGTATTCCCTAGTCCCCGCAGGCATGCTCCGCGTTGTCTGTGGATCTTCTGCGGCGTGTCTTCGAGACTGCGGGCATGCGAGGGTTAGAGGCTGGCAGCTTTGTGAGATAGCAGTGTGACGCATGAATCGATCCGTGTGTTGTTGGGAAGCATCTTTTTGGCTTGAGGCAGATGCGCAGCAGGTTCTCATTGCTATTGCGCATCACATCGAGAGCAATGCTTCTACAGCGGCATACAGTAAGGGTACAGACAACTTTTGAAGCGACCCTGTGCACAGCGTGTGAGCGTTCAGGTTCAGACGATGTTGAGATCTGCGCTGGAGACGGCATCCCGGCAAAGGTGGTTGACCCAGCTGCGCCAGCACACGCTGGAGATGAGTTGGGGGAGCCTTGCACGCTCTTTGGCAGGCCACGACAAGGTGACGACGAAACAGGCACCGGCGTTGTCTATCAATCCGCGACCTATCAGTCTACCAGTTGCCCACACGACCTTTCACTGTGAGGCGGTTTTGCAAGATCGGTCTCTCCCTCAGGGAAGCTACGCACAGGGTGCGATCAGATGCTGTTCCGCTAGCAGAAACTAGCTGCCCTCGGGTAGGAGTGGATCTTCCAAAATGTTGTGTGCTTATGGCCTTATGGCACTCAATGTTACCGTACCAAAGCATCCTAGTGGGGTCATATCTGAAAACGGCTTCTGGAGGAAGGCTTCCCTTCGCCTGGCTTGTAAGTCAACGCCTTCCAAGAGTTCAAGAAGTCGCCGTGGCTACTCCAAACACAGGGACCTGGACCACTATAGTCACTATAAACTCTAAACCTGATCGTAGGCCACGGGCAGTGTACACGCGAGCAAGGTTCTGGACGATAGCCACGTCTGGTCGTAGCCAAGCTGCAATTCTATGTGATGGAAGTGTGCCACGAATGCTCGACTGGGCTTTGTGAATGCCTTTGTTCTTGGGAATGAGGCAGTGGGAGCCATCTTATCCATCAGCGCCGTTTATGCAGGCGCCGTGCCACCAAACGCAAGAGAAGAGATGACCGCAAGCCGCCAGCTGCTCCCTCCGCCGGCTCAGGAACCGATGCCGCCCATGCCCAGGCCGCTGTCGAAGGGACGCCGGACGCCCACTCACGGAAGCTCCGAAGCTCCGCTGCAGGTGCGAGGCCTGGGATCCCTATGCTTGGCAGGAGTCGTGCTCCCCCCGAGCCCGGCACCCAACATCTCGCGCGATCGCGCGGTCCCGTCGTTTCAGGTACTCCAACTTCTTCCATCCTCATCCTCCTTCCGCCTGGTCTGATGCGGCGGCGGCCGGGGCCCCCTCAGTGGCTCAGCACTCGTTCGGAGGAAGACTCCCCAGCAAAACCTCTTGAGGTGACACGATCATACCCTTGGTCGCAGCAGCCAGTCTGGAATGCAGCGGGCGAAGTCCTGAGAGGGTAGCGAGGGCGGGAGGGCAGTGAGCTGGTTGGGTACTGCGCCAGGTTGGGGATCTGGCAGAGGCCGTGTCACCAGCGTCATGAGCGCTGGTGTTGAGCGGGTCAGCTGCACCATTTTGGGAGGTGCCGAGCTTTTAGAATCAGTCCTGAACATCCCCAGGGAGGCGTTGGTGGGATACATGCGCGAGTTCCGCTTCCTGTGTGTTCATGCAGGTGTCAGCTCAGCCAAGCTCCAAGTCTCCACAGATTCACAGACAACTGCACGGACAGCGGAACGAGGCTAATTCCGTTTGCAGGTCTGATTTCGAGGACCCTCTGACGCCGGCGCTGTGCCATGCAAAGGCCCGTCGTGCAGTCCCGCTGGTAGCCGGAGCCGATGCTGTGTCAACAGTTCAGGCCGTCGAAGATGAGTTCACCCCCGTGACGACAGCTGGTAAGCTTCGCCGGCAGACTTTGAAGCCTAGGCCATGCTATGCCCTGGTGTAGGGCTTCCAAGGGTTGTGCCATGCATTGCCATGCCAGGTCATCGGCGTGTGGGAGCTCCTTTGAGGACAACATGCCCCGACTGGTGTGCTGCCGACTCCGGCCAGCAGCCCTAAACGAGGAGGGATACGGAGACGACGTGATTCTGCAGAAAGTCCTCTTCAGCGAGAGTTCCTCCCTCAGGGCCTGTTCAACTCTCGGAAGACATCCTGTTGCACGCACCTTCCCCCGCTTTGCAGTTCTCTTGAACGGGCGGGAGGGGCTTTAGAAGGACGGGTCTGAGTCGCCTTGTGCCAGCTGTGGCGGCGACGGAGCAGTTGGACAAACATACAGACACAGCGCTGTGCTGTTGGGTCGCTCGGCATGCTTTGCGTCCGAGTCCGAATGCTGGCAGGCGGACCCTTCTCCAAAGTGCCGTGCTCGAATGATTTTTATCAGCACGGGGAGCCAACGAGTGCGAGTGGATGCTCTGATGCAGAGCTACAAGGTCCACGTCGAGGTGCCTCCGGGTCTCTGAAGGGCAGTCCCTGCAGCCGGCCAAGGAATCGCATTCGTGCTTGCAGCCTGAGATTCCTCTGATCGAAAAAGAAGTTCCACGGTACGAAACCGGTCCAGTCCCAGCCGCAAAGCTGGCGAATCGCAGTCGCTGCTAATTCATCTGATGTAGGTGTCGGCCATTGTAGGCCCCAGTAGGCAACTGTAGGCAGCCGCAGGTTAGAGCTGACAGAGTTAATGTCGACTGATACCTGTAGATGCAGGGAGTTTGGAGCTGCACTCGGTACGATTCTGTAAGCCTGTAGGCGCACCTTGAATCCAAACTCCCTGCAGTTCTTTGACTAGCTGAGGCAAATGCTACTAGACCTTACTTGGCAGCCATGTGCATCTTGCTCGGTCGGCTACGAGTCAAAAGTCTTTCAAAGTTGGAAGAGTCAGAAGCCCATGTCGTAATAGTCGACACGTGAAGCTCTCCACGACGCACATGGTTCTTTGAAAGCCAACTGGCGCTGCCGCTCCCATACAATGGTATGATGCGTGTGGCGTCAGATCGTGCCAATGTTCGTGCATGTAGAGTTACCAACTCAAGCCTAGAACTTTCGTTCCAACCCGAGCATGGCTCCAGAGCTTTTTCATGCTGTTTCTAATACCGTTGCAGCCGATCCAGAATCCGGAAAAAGCTTTTGTCAGCTGAGCCGTGCTTGGCAAGAATAGGCTGTGGGGACATTTGCGCAACAGCTCGGCGAATGTCAAGCAGCCCCGGCGTGGACACGTGCTCGTGGAATTCATGGCAGGGATGGGCCTTAGAGCCCATGTCAGAATCCCACCGCGCCATTGCACGCAGTAGGCATGTAGGATGTGAGTAGCCACTCGTTGTGGAACATAGAGAACATCAAGCCCAAGTCAGGACACAACGAATGGCTCCAAGCAGCCCGACAAGTGCTTCAGCATTTCATAATTTTGAATCTCTGAGGCACCGTTGGTTGCTACGGTCGCCCTGGCCACACAAAACACTTCCTACATACTAAGTTGAAAGAGCGGACCGAACAAAGATATCAATGAGGAAGGAGGTGTTTTGGGTTTGGCATTGAGGAAGTCGCAGTCATTCCCGTGGGTTGCCGTGCTCCGGAGCGTTGGCGTTTCCAGGTCTCGGTGCTCATGGGTTGCCAGTTCCTGCTCAGGTCGGTTTCTCAGAAGGGTTGTTGCCATTGTCGTGCTTGGTATTACTCTGTCTCCGCATCTCCTCGTCCTCACCAGCTCTACCCTTGCCCTGTGCTCTCTCTCTCTCTCTCTCTGTCTCTCTCTCTCTCCCTCTCCCTCTCCCTCTCCCTCTCCCTCTCCCTCTCCCTCTCCCTCTCCCTCTCCCTCCCCCTCTCTCTCATGCATTCTGCTCTTGAGATTCTTGTCTCTGTACGCCCCTGCTGCACAAGGTGGCACAGAGCGGCCTGTTGCTGGGCATGAAATTCTCACCCAGAAAGTTTTGGATAACGGGTGATTAAGCATGTTACTGAGAACATTGGTTTCTGCTTTGTTGTTCTTCGATATGCTGAACTCACTGACTTTGTGTCAGAAGTGTTTAAAGGACCGTGTCAATGTGTACACAACACACTGTGTCCGCAAAGCCCGACAAACATCATCGCCTTCGACGGGAAGCACTCGCATATTTCATGCATCGCATTTCTCTTTGCACCCTCTCATTCTGTTCTGCGATTGCCGGAGTCCAGGATCAAGCGACAGCTAGTATGGGTCAGAGCCCCCAAGCATGAGAATGTAGACGAGACGACTTTTGCGACACCTGCTACACTGTCCTGCTGGGAATCGACCCCTGATTACCCAAACAGGAATAGCTTCTGACATAGTGTGACAGACCGCGTGCTGCTATGACGAGGCGTCCCAATGACAGCTGCGCGACGCAGGAACCCTGCTACGGTAGCATCAGCGCAGGGCTCCCGACAGGCCTCAGGAAAGCAGTGCTACCGATGATCTCGATGCAGAGGCCGCATCTTGCACGATGTGCAATACCAGAGCGGATTCAAGATAAGCAAGATGCTTGTGTCAGGATTTAGTGCCTGACAACTGGTTTATTCGGCCGAGTACTCAAATGGTTGTGCTGATCTTGAGGAGCTGCGTTGTTTCGCAGCCCATGGTCAGGTTAGTTCATTGTATAGCGTGGCTATTGACTTTGGTGCTCTCCGCTACTTGGCTTGATCCACTCTGCACCACAACAGCAGCATGGCCCTGCCTTGGGGTGAATGATGCCACATGGTTCGCCCTAAGGCACTGAGCATCATGTTCATTGGCTACCAGCTGTATGCATTGCATCTTGGATCAGTGTGTTGACCTTGACCGCCTTGACCCAGCTCATCAGGAAGCGGAAGCTAAGGTATCTACCCTACTGTCGCGCCAAGCTTCTTGGTGACAGTTCGTACAGATTCCCGGAGTACTTTTACAGGCCATGGGGTCACCATCAAAGCTTGATTGCGTACTCATGTTGCTGGCAGGGTCTGGGGTAACGATGCCACGGATCTCACTTCGGAGCACTGGGGCTACCTCGGCGCCTGTGCTACCGTGACGTTCCTGAGTGTCAGGCACGCTTTTGAAGCTCTTGAATCCTTGAATCGGGCAGTGCCTTTGCCATTTCCTGGCAACACAGATCCACAGACAGCACTGGCCCAAAGATGCCGCATCAAAAAGAAGGGATATTCAGTTGAATCAGATGACAGGTTTAATAACCCTCCACTGCGGTGGTGACCGCACACATCTTGGCTAACATGAGTATGTCGTCCAAGTTGGGAGCAGCTTATAGACAATGGAAACTGCTGCACTACCCATGGCCATGCAATCGCCCGTTCCTTGCAGAGGATTTTCGGCGAGCTTGCCGGCACAGCCGCGGCCATTTGCATGCCGTTGGGGGCACACAGAAGTGAAATCTAGAGAACGGGATCTTCGAAGTCCACTTGCCTTCTTCATCCTTGCCTTGTCTGCGTCTGGCTATCGAGCAGATGTTCGCTCGAGAGGGCGCAAGCAATCAGCAGTCTCTCACAGAGGCAACGCCGTTCGGCTGTCGAGTCAATCAACCAGTGTTGCACCTGTTCCTCCAGTGTCGGGTGGCCTTCGGAGACTATGGTCTTGTGCGACATTTTCTTGGGTCAGTGCGCTGATGCGCCGTGGGAACAGACCACCTCCTATTGAAACCCTTCAGCTCCTGCCTGCACCTCGTGATATGCCACATGTCAGCAAGATAAACTCGTGATGTCATCCGCAAAGCTGTGCATACAACAGACTTCGTTAACCCCTCGCTGTTCTCTGTGCGACCTGAGCTTGAGGCGAGCCGCGGACCTAGCACGCGAGCTCTCTTCGGCGCTCCTGGAGACTTCTTGGCGGGCTGCCCACGGCAAGAGCCACGCTGCACATCCACAGGAACCAGAAGGGCTAAGCCGGCTAAGCCATTTCCAGCTGCGTAATGCACTACTGCACTTGCACCGGGGGCGCATCTTTAGCACCGGCGTGCTCCGCTTTGTCAACACCTTGGTGCAATTTTTGCCTGCACTGTTTTTGGGGCCTCTACTCCGAGCAGTACAACAAGGAAACTTTGTAGCTGGAAGGAATTCTGCACTGGCCCTTTTTGCGGTCCTGTGCCTGAAGACAGTGATTGAGAACCAGTTCTTTCACCAGACAACAGTAATGGCCACGCGTGTCCGAGCAATGTTGCAGGCCTCGATTTACGAGAAGAGCTTGCGCTTACATGAGGCTGTTGCTGCCGTGCCTCCCGTCACACTCATGCAAGTAGACACAGGGAAGGTGGAGGAGTTGACGTATTCGCTGCACACTCTTTGGGATGGCATTTTTCAAGTAGTTGGCTACTCGGTGCTGTTGTGGTGGTACCTTGGTTTGGCTGGTTTCGCTGGCATAGTGATTCTCGTTGTCTTCATGCCTTTCAATGCCAGTCTCCAACGCCAGCTCTCTGGACTGAATAAGTCCTGCCTGCAAACGACAGATGCCCGAGTCTCAAAGACGGCAGAGATCCTGAACGGCATCCGAGCTTTGCGCCAAATGGGCTGGGAGGATGTCTTCGAGCGTACCATCCGTCGGCTCCGTGACTCCGAGTTAACGGCGCAGCGGAAAAGGGATACTGTGGGTGCCTGGGCCTAAATCGGAGATTTTTTTTGAAATCGTAGTTTCGAAAAGTGATGTGTGGATCTTGATGCTATGCTGAATGAATCATGGAAGCGGCTCTCGCATGCAGCTCAGGAGCCTATCTGCTGTCCTACTTCAGTGCACTTCCCCCCTTCATGATCGCGGTCGTGTTGCTGGCATACGTTGCAGGCCAAAGGGCCAGCTTCAACGCAGCCATGATCTTCACGGCATTGTCACTTCTGAACCAGATCCGATTCCCATTGCTGTTTTACCCCAGTGCCTTGAATGCCTTGGCAGAGGGGCAGGCAGCTTTGAAGCGAATCGCCGGCTTCCTTTGCTTGGAAGAGGCTGCCGCACCACGGCCGCCGATGTCGGAGGATGCCCAGCTGCCACTGCTGCTGGTGCCGGGCAGCTATCGCATTGGAAAGGATCACGCAGCAGGCCACGAGGGCCACAGTGCCCCGACGCTCGCCGTCTCCGAGCACTTGAGTGTCGCACATGGCGAGCTGGTGGGCGTCCTCGGCCCCGTCGGCTCCGGCAAGTCCACCCTCGCCGAAAGCTCAGCATGACAGAAGTAGAAGTGAGCGAGCTCGAGCTGCTAGCTGCACTGAACTGAGCTGTTTTCTGGTAAATGGCCCTTCATGCCAGTTGCGAGCCTTCCTTGGGGAGCTGCCCGGCACCTCCTTGCCCGCGCCGCCGCAGAACGTAGCCAGCGCCTAAGCGCAGGGCTGCGGTGGCTTTCCTAGAAAGGTGGGGTCGGTTGTCTGCATGAGATGCCGTGGCTGCCAGGCATACTGTTCTCAACAGCCGTGGATTCCAGAAGGACCTTTCAAGGGGACGGCGAGGGCACGAGGGAGCCAGCGGCAAGAACATGTTGTCCGTGCATGAGACGTCGACACCATTTGGCTCAAGTAATTGCTGTGTCACTTTGTCTCTTCAAGTAGGAGTCTTTGCCTTTGAGGCGATGTGGTGAAAACCATCAGGGAAGGCTGCGGGAGCGCTCGCAAGGGCGGCTCTGATGAGTTGCACGACGAATCCGAAGACTTCCCCAGGCCAACCTCTCGCGCTGAAGTCGCCTGGCGGACCTGCGCGTTCATCGGAACATGCTTCGACCTCGGGATGTTGAGCGGGGCCTGCAGTGCTTGGCCTCAAGATCGCCAGCGCTGCAGCATCTGCCGGGCTTCGTAGAGAGTCGCAGAAAGGACTTCAGCATCAAGTTATGCACGCGAAACTTCTCACATACTCCCAGGTTTACTGTCGGCAAACCAATCATCGGTGTTTGGATGAGCAGAAAAACAATGTTGGAGTCCGAGGCAAAGGTTTCAGCCAGATTGTAGCTTTGTGAGGATGCGATCGCAGTTGCAAAAAGCGCAGTCCACAGCTGGTCTCTTGCTCTCAACTCCGTGTAATTGCTGCATGTAACCGCACATGGCCGCAGGGCGAACGCTCCTCGAAGTGGTGGCTGGGGTGTGGATGGACGAGACGGCGCCTTTCGTGCCCGACGTGGACTATGGCGCATTCTCCAGAGCCCTGTCCGCAGCTGCCGTGGACTTTGCCGAGATGAACGATGAGGTGAGTGCGACATCCTTGAGTGGGGGCCAGCAAGCTCGGTTGGCTCTTGCCAGGGCGATGTACCAAGCAGAAATTGGCAGTGTCTGTGCTTGCGTGCTGGACGATGTGACGGCGGCCTTGGATCCGCAAGTCACCCTTCAAGTGATTAACAACTGTCTGAATGGTCCCTTGCAGGATATGGCCACACTGCTAGTTTCCAGTGACCCTGGACCGTGGCTGCAGCGCTGCGACCGAATTATCGTCATGTCGTCCAGCTCAGATTCTGGGTCCTTTCAGCTGCAAGTCGACTTCGCAGGCAGCTACGCTTCTTTGGCTCAGTCAGGCAGGCTCGAGCTATCCTTGCCGCAAGCACAGCCAGAGCCCACGGTCGCAGTCGCTGAGGAAGAGGCAGAAGTCAGTGAGCTCAAGGAAAGCTTTGAGGCTTCGACAGAGGTCTCAGAAGAGGGCTCTGAGGGCACGGTGGAGAAGCCGAAGAGCAAACAGATCACTGCGGAGGAGGCAAGGGCCTCCGGTGCAGTGCCTTTGAAACTTTATGCTCGCTACTTCCAAAGTGCCCGAAGCCCACTTCTCCTGGGCCTCGCAGTTGCTGCGGTGATTGCAAGCTATGGGGCGACAGCTGCCCAACAATGGTGGATCGGCTTGTGGACGGCCGATGCTACCATGAAGCGCGGCTTGGGCTACTACATGCTGGGCGTAATCTTCTGGGGCTTGCTGGCCTCTGGCTTGACCTTTGGACGATCTTTGCTGATAGCAGCATTTTCCCGAAGGGCCTCACGAGCAGTTCACGACGATCTCTGCGAGAAGGTCTTGGTGAGGGCATCGACTTCCCACTTTGACCGCAATCCCTCCAGCCGTTTGCTGCAAAATTTTTCGAAAGATCTGGAGCAGATCGACAACAGCCTCCCTAACAGCCTACGGTCAGCAGTGTCCAGCGTCACAACACTTGCTGGAGCTGCGGTCACGATCGTCTTGGCCACCCCGAGCTTCACGGTGATCATGTTGCCCCTGCTCTGGTTGTACACGCGTTCCCTGCAGTACTACCGACCCGTCGCTCGAGAGCTGAAGAGGCTCGAGCCCCTGGCGAGGTCTCCGGTCTACGCGGAGCAGGCAGCCGCCGCCTCGGGCGTCATCACCATCCGCAAGCTGGGCCTCGGCAACGTCATGGCCGTCCGAAGCCCAGAGAGAGACGTGCTGCCAGAGAGACTGAAACTTGCTTAGTGATGCTTAGTGCCGGATAGTGCTGGGGAGGCTCGAGGCTGTTTGTGCCAGTCGGCTGCATCGTTTTGACCTCCAAGGCACGGGCCTTGCGCGCCATCGACTCGAACACAGCCGTGTCCTTTGCTGCCAAGGCGGTGGATCGATGGTTTTCGCTTCGGATGGAACTGCTTGGGAACCTCATCGTGTTGGCAGCTGCGCTTCTAAGCTTGTGGACTGGGGCCAATGCTGGCGCCTGGGCAGCGGCTCGGGCAGCCATCGCTGTAACTCAGGCACTGTCCGTTTGTGGCCTGCTGAATTGGACTGTGCGGACCATTGCCCAGACCGAGACCAGCTTTACGTCCTTTCAGCGTATCTCTGACTCGCTGTCTGCAACGGAGCTTGAAGCCTCCCGTGAGCTGCCGGCTGACGCGAAGCTTCCCAGTGCCTGGCCTGTCAGCGGAAGCATCTCCTTCGAGGATGTGTCCTTCAGCTATCGCAAGCACTTGCCTCCTGTTCTGCGGGGCCTCTCCCTTGACCTCGCTGCGGGCAAGCGCATTGGGGTAGTTGGGAGGACGGGCAGCGGGAAGTCCACATTGCTGCGACTGCTGCTGCGTACGGTGGAAGTTTCAGAGGGATCAGTGAAAGTGGATGGTGTGGACCTCCGCCAAGTTGGGCTGGCCCGCCTCAGGTGCGAGCCTTAGGTCTACATAGTCTACCTGGCGTCCTTGCCCTGTGTAATGTCAGACTCATCTCAGACTCAGGTCCTCTGTGACTGCCATCCCCCAGGACAACTTCCTGGTGACGGGCACGGTTCGTGAGAACGTAGATCCTCGAGGTAGCTACAGCGACGAGGAAGTCCGGCATGCACTGCAGGCGGCCTCGCTTGGTAATTGGGATTTGGAGCGTCGAGTCTCTGCTTCCGGCGGAATCTCGCCGGGAGAGAAGCAACTCATCGGTGTAGCACGGGCCGTCCTCCGGAAGTCGAGGATTGTGGCTCTGGACGAGGTCACCTCACGAGTAGATAAGGGTACGGATGAGAAGGTGCAGTCAGCACTCAAGCGGCTGCCGGAAGGAACAACCTTACTGGTGGTCTCGCACAGACTCGCCACCTTGCAGGACTACGACACTGTCGTGGTACTCGGTGACGGTCATGTGGTTGAGATAGGCAATCCGAAGGATTTGGAAAGCAATCCAGAATCTCAGTTTGCGAGCATGCTCGCAGCCGAGCGGAGCGGGGAGATCTTTTAAAAGACAGGTTTGCCTCTGCCTTCGAGCAGTCTTGATGAGGCACTAAGAAGCCTTGCAAAACCTGACCAGGTACGTGGTGCCCTTTCATCCGTTCGCAACGAGCAGTGAACATGCGAAGGCGGACTAGTGTCCGCCGGCTGACGGGCCTCGACGCAGAAAAGCAACGGCAAAGTGGAGAGGTCAGCTGCGGTGTGCCCGGTGGGCTACAGAGACTTGCTGCATTTGCAGGTTGAGCTGCACGAGCGGGGAGTTTGGTAGTCAGCAGCCGTGGCAGCCATTTCTAGGTCCTAGGGGCCCCCAAAATCCTTGCAGCAATTCCTTTTGGAGATTTGCTAAGTGTGCGACTGAGATCAGCATTTGGAAACTGGCAAGCCTGGTTGGTAAGTTCCAGCAGCCGAGGCCATGACGGAAGGGGAAGTTCCAGCAGTCGAAGCAAAGATGGAGGATGCAGGGCAGGCACCGGGCAAGCTGCAGGGCTTACCGAGGGTGGCCTCTCGCAAACTGAAGTCTAGGAGGTTGCATCCGGGGCTCTAGACTCTAGCCCATACAAGCGGTTGAGATGAGAGACAAGCAAAAGCAAAGGTCGAAGAGCGAACACAAACAACCTCTTGCTGCTGCACAAGTGCACAAGTTGAGAACAACATCCTACTTGTATGTCGTTAAGATTTTGATTTTCTTATCATGGAGGGCAGATGTCTGTCCTGGTCGTGCTTTGCCGAATGCTGTGCTTGCTGGTCCTGTCCGTTTTTGCTCCTGCGTGCGGCACATGCAGCGTGCATGTGCATGTGCTTGGCTGCTCGCGATGCTTTCTCGTGGAACACATGAACCTCAGCCTTCCTGGCAGGGTATTCGCATTCACTCTTTACAAGGCTTCGACGACATGCAACTCAGGCAGGTAACAGAGGGTTCCTGCGAGTATTAAGATCGAATGATGGTGCATCGTCATCGCAACACGCACAGACGAACAGCCCCTTCTCAAAGAGGGTCTCCTCTTAGCCGGAGACGAGGAGCGGGGGGGGGACAGCTCCGTCAGAGACCGGACCAGCCTCCCTGCAGAGGGTCCCGCCCCCCCCCAACATTTCTCCTCTTCCTGTCAAGAGATCTTACGCACTGCCTGTGTGCCGCGGTTGCGGCCAGCTCTGGCATCTGCGCATGTGAACAAGCCATCCTGGACTCCACAGCCTGCTTGCCTGATTGCGCTTTGCAGAAAAATTGTTATCGTGGTTTTCACTACATGATAAGCGCATAAAGCATGGAGGGGCTCCGCTCACGCTGCCATGGTTTCAATCAGCTCAGAGTCTTCATGGACCTCTGTTTGTCTGCTTTGTCGACGACCTGCGTGAGAAGTTTCTGCTCAATTTTCAGAGCATTTTCGGGCTACAGCAGGACACTTACAATGATTCATGCAAAACGCTTGCCTTGTCACCAACATCCACGGTGTTGTTGCGCCTCTAGGTCGGCTGACAAGTTCCTAGCAGCGACATCGCTGCACATCACTCGCTAGAGCTTCGCTCCATGCCGTGCCAGTTCTCGCCAGGCTTCGCTAAGGTTTCACAATTCGCTGTGGACAGAGGCCAGGCAGATGGGTTGGTCCAGCAGCGGTCTGCGGATCTTGTGTCGCTGCTCTTCTGGTGCTGACACTGCCTCACAATGTCTGAGCACGAACAGCCTGCTTAATTGTATCCTTTCTCTCCGAGTCTCGCACACCCAAAAATGTTTAACATTGTCCAGGGCAAAGCGGCAAGCATTGATCGAGTGACATGTGCATGAGCAACCACAGCGCTCTTCACGCGATCGCTGCCCATCTTGCACAACAACGCTTCACTGGGGCAGTTTCTGCCCAGACGCGGGTGCTGCCTGCTTCAACGCCGGTTTACCCCACACCTTGCCGCCGAACATGCTCGGTGGAGAGGCTGCTTGGACCTTTCGTGGCCGTTTGGCTGCATCACTCGTATGCTGCTTCCTTACAATCTCCCTCACATATCTGCAGAGTTGAGTTCGGGCGCTTGATGCTGGCCATCTCCAGCCACTCGAGCCGACATTGTCCGTCCAAAGCCGAGTGGCAGCCATGCCGAAGCCTTTGCTATGTCGAAATCGTCTGCAAAAGCACAGGAGCGCTTTGTTTGATGAAATGAGAATCTAGGATCTAGCGGCCGAGCGGCCATGCTGAGCCTGAGAAATAGCAGCATTGATACACATTTCATTTCGAATGGCTCAACTGGCCTGAGATGTCTGTAGCACATAGTGCCCCGAGCCCCGCATGCAAGCCTTTGTGTATTCAGCATGATTCAAACTTTGAGAATGCCTCGTAGGCTGGAAATGGCCAGAAGCTAATGCCTGTTGCAAGTGCACTATCCTACTGCCGCAGACCGACTCGTGCCTGAAGTGTCGATACTTAGAGTGCTCACGAGGGGCAGTATATCCGGTAAGTATTGATGGCAGTGTGCCGTATGCAGCCCTCGGCATCTTGTCCGGTAGACCTCAAGATGCACACGCAGCAGAGGTCCTGATTGAAGTCGGTTTCAGGTTTTGAAGAATTGGCTGACCTGGCTCTTGCTACCTGTCTTTCAAGGCTTCTATGTAAGGGTTCTACAGGAAGCCCAACGGACCCAAACCAAGACTCAGTACCAACAAGATGCTCCCGAAACTGAAACCCCAGCCAGAGGTGTGTGGATTGAAATCATGAAGCCCGATATGAAGCCCATTCCCGAAATTGAGCGGAACTCCTCACAGGCCTTTCATCTAAGATCATCTTCACAGATACATGTGAACACGAAACACCGTAGCAAGACCGACCGGCTGTCTAGATAGATGATCAAAGCTGAAGCTTGCAGAAACCCTTAACATCAAGAACCTCCTCTCAAACCGAGCATCCAGGGACCGCTGCCAGTCTAAAGAATCGCTGGGATTCCACGACTGTCTCCGCCGATCGAGGCGGCTTTAGACTGGGAAGCGCTCAGGGTTTAGATTTGAAAGCCTTCCGGTTTGCAGGTTGGGTGGCTCAGCCTGTCTTTTTTGCATATTTCCTTTTCTTGGTGAGTGTGCTTCGAAACTCACATCTTCTGCTTGCGTTTGTTCTTTTTCGGATTTGTCATGTCGGCCGTGTCGAGAATGAGGTGCTGTTGCAAGAAACTAGCAGTCCATGTCTTGTGAGTTTAGCTCTAGCAGGCTGTTGGATCAGTTTGTACGTTTCGAAGCTCTGTTTCTTCCAACAGCTCTTGATAGATCAAGAACAGTGTACGGTGTACTTTTATTGTGCCCACTTTTCGCAATCTTGCTCTACTTCTGTTGCATGGACATTAGTGGTTCCGAGGACCACCTAAATGGGAGAAAAGCTCGTGCCGTGATGCAGGTTTCGCTTGGGTTGGTGCGTTTTACAGGAAACTGTCACTGACAGCTTTCTTTACAAACAGTGGCCTCAGAGGCTCCTGCCACCTTCCATTTCTTCGTGGGTTTCCCCCAGCAAACCTGGAGTCTTCCTTGTGTTCTTCCTCATCGATGGTCTCGAAAGCCAGGCTATGTCAGGATGATTGGGAACTTTGAAACACTATCCTCTGCCAACCCTTTCCACGTTTCTTTGCATTGAGTGGGCACCAGCACCACCACCTGCCAAAGAGGGCAAGCTTTCCTACAACCACTTGTGAAGGTTGAAAGGGGATGCTGGGCGGTGAGTGCACATCGAGGAGATTGAAAACGGCTGAGCATATACTCGGAGTAACATGTAAATTGAAATTTCCATTCGTCCTCTTCGTGCTCGCTTTTGTCCCGGGGCTTGGATCACCTCGACGACGCGCGGACAAACCCCAAGAATCCTGATAATCGGCAGAAAAGATCATGGCGCCGAACAAGGAGGCAGGTAAGACATCGCTAAGGCGATGTTGTGGGAAAGTCGCAGCCGCAGATGTGAAGATGTGGTTGGCCGAGACGGCCACAATGCCCAAATTGCACACCGGTACGACGGAGCAAAAGATGGCACGTTGCCGCCGGCTTTGGTGTCAGGGTATCGTGCCGCAGCCGTTGTCGTATGTTCGGGTGAAGATGGCCTCTTGTCCAAGTGTAAAGATGGTCACCTGTGGAATGCGAGAGCCACTCTGGCCTGAAGATTGGCTGAAACAGCAAAGTAACCTGACCTAGAGAGGTGGACAGGCTCGGGGTTGGTTTGCAACCTCATGTTTGGCTGCCCGCCATGGTGGTATAGATAATATGTCTTAACGGAAAGGCGCGCAGGATGCGGTAAAGGTAATTTCGCGAAATCGCAATCTCCCAGCAGCTGTTCTGTTCGCGAGCATGATGACGACGAAAGGCATCGACATTGGAGAACATATAGTGAATGTAGTGTACGTGGTGTGTTGAATGCTTCTCATACCGTCCATGTCTTGTTCCTGGCGCGAGTTGGTAAGTTTAGATAAACTTATCGTCTATGCCTGTTTCGCACGTCGATTTTTCATCTGGACGTGACAGAGAATTCCTCCTCTGCAATTGCAACTGAGAAGGTTTTCTACAATATAGGCTTTGGTTTCCAAGAGCACCTGGTTCTGTTCTTGATGGGTACCAGGTAGGTTGTCCTGTCCATACAGCAGAACGGGATGTTCTTTAAAAGCAAACACTCCCTACGGCGATTCGCAGATTGTGGCCGGGCATGTTCTCGTGCTAACTTGATCCTTTTCGCTGCTACAGCTGAGCCCACTACTGTAGAATCTTCTGTCAGGCATGGTTGCCGGTGTGAGCTTCCGGCCATCAGCGACTTTATCACCTTTCTTCTGGGTTAACACGCGGCAACATAGTTGTTTCCTCTTGGCTTCTGAAGCCAAGGCTTCCTTCAATGCTTCAACCTGAGCCCGAGCACGCTCTGATTCCTTGTCAAACCTCTGACACTGCCCACCGCGTTTGTGACTGAAGACCGCTGCAAATCGTGCCAGCTGAAAGCAGTAGACTTCCGACCAAGCATTACGCTTGCGGCGTTGCTAGCAGCAACTGCACCACGAATTTCAGGTATAATT